CTCATCTTCGATCGTTCCTCTACACCTACACCAAACACCAACACCCAACCCCTTCAATCGCTCTGGGCTTTCTCCTCCGGTGGACAGCGCCCGCTCACCCGCTCCTCACTGACGCCGGGTGCCCACTGAAGCCCCCGGAGCATCCCCCAAAAACAAGCACCCCACCCCGCCCGGAACCTGGTGCATCCCAGTCGGTCTGAGGTGGCCGCTTTTGGGTGTGGTGAGTTGGTTGCCCTGATCTCAGCGAGGTTGGATTTCTGCTCAGTGCCCTACCGCTCTCAGCTATAGCTACAGCTGCAGCTGCAGCTAGGTTCTGTAACTTACAGTGCCATCCACCCATACATGCTCGCTGTAAATTATTGAGCGGCATCTGGACTGCAAGCAGCTGCAGCAGTGCAACCCACACCCGAACCTTCTCACACCCTCCCACTAAAGCCACTACGTGGGGGGCCCTTCTCTTCGTCACCTCAGCCTCTCGCTCACCCTCACTCATACTCTCTTCTCTCTTTCATAGCCCGTTCAATCCTCGCTCCACCACAAGCCGGCCATTATTTCCTCCATGAGCACATCTGTCTCAATCGCAACCTCAAGTCCTGTTCTAACAATGAACCCAACAATAACAGAGCACGACTTTCGTTTTCCAAGAAGGCCAAGTGCATGGCCTGGCGCTGCTATTCACAACGCTCCCACTCAGCGCAGCGGCAACTCGAACCGCATCCCAAATTCTCGTGACGCTTCGGCCAGCTTCAAGGAGCACAAGACCGATATGGCCACCACATATTCCCTTGCCCGGCAGGGACTGGGCGGCAGCGCCCTTTTCCCATTTCTCCAGAATGGCTTGGCCGACTCCGATCGCAGTATCGACAGAATGCAGCAGGATGATCCGCTTGCGACTCAGGTCTGGAAATTCTTCGCGAGGACCAAGCACCAGCTTCCCAGCCAGCACCGCATGGAGAATCTGACTTGGCGTATGATGGCTCTCAACATACGCAGGCACAAGGAAGAGCAGCAGCAGAGGCAAGAGGAGGCGGATGCTCGAAGAAAAAAGAACATGGACGCCAACAGCCGGTATGTAAATCACCTTTTATTCCTACAACGTCATTTGTGCTTCGAATCGCGTTCTTACATTTGGTCCATGACGTGCTAACAAGGGCTTTCAGGCTTGGACGCCCAATGATGCAAAGCTCTCCCAGCGGCATTGCCCAACTGAGAAAGTCTTCTGAAAACAATCTGGCTCAACCTGATGCCATGAATCTTGACGACTTCATTTTTTCTGACAATTCTGGCTCGCCTATCAACTTTGCGTCTCCCGAAGGCGATAAAATGGTTGACGATAGGTCGGCCAGCTCAATGGCGTCGGCCATCCCAATCAAATCCCGCAAGGAACCATCTCTCCAGAATTTTGTCCCACAGTCGGTCCCCGTCCAGCCAGCTCACCAGGCTACTCAGGGTAGCGAATTCAACTATGTGAACCGACATCTTCGAAAAACGAGCATCGATGATCGCAGGGTGAGTAACTCCCATTGCCCCTCCTCTTTGTGTGACCAGCAGCGCATATTGCCATTCGTCCGTCGCAAACCTCCAAATTTGTTGTTACTTTCTTTATTTTACATGTGATAGCACGCTTATTTCGCGCTCAACTGCTAACCTACACAACCAGACTCGAAAGCGGCCTGCTAATTTCTCCCCCCAAGTCCCAGCTGTCAATAGCACTGCCGCGCAGAATGACCTGGATCTTGATTCAGAGTTGCATGACTATTCCCTAGACCAGCCCAACCAGGCCGGCATCCCTCAGCAGTCTAATGGCAGCAATGTTCCCTTCAACCTCGATACTTTTATGGAAAATGACTCCATGGTCAACAATGGAAATTTCCAGCAGAACTTCTCATTTTCTCCTTCGACATCACCTATGATACCCCATGGTCCCTTTTCTGGCATGTACCACAATTCATCTGTCCCTTCAGCATCTATGAGTAACAACAACAACAACAATGGCGACTTTTATTCGCCACCGGCGTCTGCGTACCCCTCGAATGTCTCGACTCCTCATCCTGTGCCTGAGCAGGAAGGGTTCTATTTTGGATCCCAAGATGCGCGAGCGCAGCGTCCACAGGGTTTTCAGCAGAGCATTGGCAGTATGCTTAGCCAGCAGTTCATGTATGGTGGCTCGAACGGCAACAGCGGCAGCACTATGTTCTCTGCTCCAGGCACTGCATCGGAGTCAATGTCAGCATATAGCACTGCCCCCAGCTCATTCGGGCATATCGACCCTTCTCAGGTGTTCCAGAACGAACAAGCTGTCACTTCACCAACGATTCAGATGCCACAAGACAACATGTTTTCTTTTGGAGCCGACTCCGATGATGAGGACAACAACGCATTTGCTGATCGTAATGTTTCAATGCAAAAGGATATGTCTTCATCACTTGATGAGTCAGGAGCAATGGGCTGGGATGCCAGCCTGCCAGGCCAGTTCAGCACCCAAGCAGCTCGTTTCCCCGGCGGACCTACTCGCAAACAGGTGATGATTGGAGGAACAACAACTGATTTTGTCGACAATAATGGAGACTGGGAATCGAACGGCCTTGAGCGATCACAGTCGCAGTCTTTCAGAGGAGGAAACCTAAGAAGACAGCATCCTAAATTACCGCGAAATGCATCTACGCCAGTTCACTTTGGCGGACAGCAGAATGGTTTCGAGCAGCTTGCACAGTCGATGCAAAGCTCTCCTGCTGGTGATGGAAACGGGACCATGTCAGGATTCTCATCTGTGGCTCCAAGCAGACCATCTTCGCCTCCCATGTCAAAGCAGGGCTCAACCACCAACTTGCAGTCAGCTGCCGGTAACGGGAACGACGGAAATGCTCCGACCACGTGTACGAACTGTTTCACCCAGACAACACCTTTGTGGAGGCGAAACCCTGAAGGTCAGCCACTGTGTAACGCCTGTGGTCTTTTCCTGAAGTTGCACGGCGTGGTGAGGCCGTTGAGTTTGAAGACGGACGTGATCAAGAAGCGAAACCGTGGTTCCGGGACCAATGTACCTGTTGGAGGGAGCAGTACGAGGTCTAAGAAGACGGCGAGTGCCCTGAACTCTCGCAAAAACTCGACCTTGTCGATGTCCACTGCGACAGCAAATAGCACCAAACCAAACAGCAGCAACCCGACGCCCAAAGTAACGACACCACCTGCTACTAGTCAACCCCCTAGCAGTAAGGATATCGATAGCCCAGTAAGTGGTACTACATCGGGTGCCAACACCGCTGGAAGCACTCCAAACAGCCATTTTGCTGGTCCAGGACCCTCTTCCGGTGCTGTGGGTGGTAAAGGGGTTGTCCCCATCGCGGCTGCGCCCCCAAAGACTAGCCCTGGACCTGGTGCCTCATCAGTGTCGATGCAGCGTCCCGCCACTGCTTCTTCAAAACGGCAACGCCGCCACAGCAAGAGCATTGGAGGAGATGTGCCAGTGTCGATGGATATCGACAGTCCTGATTCAACCAGCTCTATTGACGGCCCACGTCCCTTTGGCTCCTCAGCTGGAATCTCGAGCTTGCCTGGTGGCATGTCCGCCAGCAGCTTCAACTTGAACCAGCGACCCAGTACGCTAGGGTCGGCTACCGGCATGATCAGCATGTCTGGTGGGCAAACGAGCTCGTTGATTGGTAGCTCTGCCGGTCCTCAAGAATGGGAATGGCTGACGATGAGTCTGTGATCGCAACAACACAGAAGCAAATAGCTTTGATGATAATGATGGAGATTTGGAAACTTCACCTTGAATGACGGTACAAATTTTGCGAACGATACACTTGGACGAAATGGGGCATGATTTCAGGGCGTTTAGGATGGTGGCGTTTTCTATGAGACTTGGTCATATGACGGATTGATACCTTATCTGGATACTCGCGGCGGATTGTACCGCTGCCGATGTTGCTGGAGTTATATGGGAGGGAATGACCTTTGATATGTGGTTATTACTGGGTAATCATGCACATGCCAAAACCTGCATGTTGTCGAGAAATGGCGCAGTTGTCACGACAATTTTCCAATATCCAAACGTCTCCTTATAGATCTGACGATTGGCTGACGGTTTCCAATTTTTATTATTTTTTATAGATGGCCTGGAAACAAGCGAATGGGAGGGTATCTGATGGTGCAAATTTGATGGATGGGACAGGATTTCGCAACGAACACACCCTCTGAAAGAGGTTTGATGATACCACTTAAGTCTATTATATACTTCTTGTTCATTCTCTCACAAATACTTTCTTCCTTGCTTGCCCTCGTACGATAAATCAATCAATGGAAGCCACCGAATAGGTTTGAGAATGCTTGGGACCAGTTCCACGAGAAAACAGATCGAGCGTCTCGAGTCTCAACTGCATGTCCGTGTGACCTCGATTCCCGCGTCAGTAGATACTGAAGTGGGCAGTGTCATGTCAGGTTGGTTGGTATATGTGGTCAACATGAAGGCGAAACATACTCTCACAAAACGGTCTTGTCGAGTCAAAATTGGTTGCTCGTTGGTTCGCAGAGCCAATACGAAGGTATTGCCATTTCTATCTTCGGAATCCCCCTGGCCTCATACCTGCCAAAGCCAGGAGGGAAACTACTCTCAAAACATACATACATAACCTCAACTATCGTAGGCTGGGCTGCCTGGCAACTCGCAGGCTTCATACCAGCAGACCGTGCACACAAAAACCTGGTCCGTATAGAACTCCTGCCTGCCGAAAATGAACAACACGAAAACAGAGCTGCAGAACTTGCAGTGTCGAATACAGTATCAGAAGTGATAATACAGCAGCATCGAAGAAGAAAAGTACCAGTGGGTCAAGTACCAACAAAGACATCAAGAATCCCCATAACGGTATGCATGTCACACCCTGAGACTCGGAATTAAGGGCCTGGGGCAACCCGCTCGTATCACGTCAGAGGAGGGCTGTTCTCCTGCTGACAAAAGCTCGCCAGCCAACCACGCTCTGAGGAGTTTGGGGCTCGTTCTAGAACATCGTCCCAAACGTCTCATCAGTGGGAATGCGCTTTCTGGGGCTCCCGCCTTCTTCCGTTGCGGGTTTGCGATGTCTGAACGTGAATCCGACGAAGAGACTCTTGCTCATTTGGTCTTCACGCTCAGCCATTGTCTCGAGAGCTTGTTGTTTGTCATGAACCTCCTTGTACTTGGCCATATCAGCCTCATTGGTGAAATCATCGAAATAGCCCGCATCAGTTTCCGAGTCCAGCTCTGGTACAAAGGGCGCACGAGTTTGTCGCAAAACATCCCATTCAACTTCAGCAAAGTAGTGGTGAGCATATATATCTTTGATATTCGAGAAGCGTCTTGTACGAGAGTTGATGCATCTAAGGGATAATCAGTCAGCTTCAGTTCGCCATGACCAGACATCAAGGGTGTGCAGTTTACTCACGTGCAGATGAAATTCCAAGTTCTGTTACTCAGGAAGTAGTTAGGGTCCTCCCATACAGGTCTCTTCAGCACCTCCTTCCAGTGCTTCAGGTTACGCCACGTCTCATCCGGGGTGGCGCCCGCGAAAGGAGGAAATCCAGTGAGTGCCTCGAACAGCATGCAACCCAGACTCCAATAATCCACTGTAAAGTCATATTCCTCCCCTCTAAGGACCTCTGGGGCCATGTAGTCAGGCGATCCCACAATGGATTTGGCATAGTTGACATCATTCTCGCGCATTGTCCGGTAGCTCTCTCGGCGTTCAGCCACAGTTCGCTGATCCATGGGCTTGCCGAAGGGAACTGCACTTTCGGATGCTTTTTCCAACTTGATACGCATTGACTCGATCTTGGACGGGGCGAGCACACCTGCGGCAAGACCGAAGTCGGTCAACTTGATGTGTCCTGTAGAATCGACAAGGAAGTTCTCTGGCTTGAGATCTCGATGGATGTAACCGAGTTGGTGCAGGGCGTCAACGGAACAGAACATCTCGGCGATATAGAAACGGGCATGGCGGTTGGATAACACACCGGTGTTGTTAAGCAGGGTGCGGAAGTCGCCGCCAGGCACATATTCCATGGCCAGATAAATACTCTTTTCATCCTGGAAAGAGTAGAGGAGCCTAACGAGCCACTCGCTTTGGGCGGTGGTCAGAATATCTCTCTCCGTCAAAACATGGCGAACTTCGTCGAGTTTGAACAGTAACTTCTTGCTCATTACTTTGAGGGCACAGACCTCACGGGTGTCTTTCTTTTGAGCCAAGAAAACCTGGCCATACCCACCTTGACCAACTTGTGTCAAAATCTGGAAGTCACCATGTCGAAGTCGAACTCGACGCTTGCGCAAGTTGGCGCGTTCTCGTCCTGTGTACTTGGCCCACATTTGGTTGTGCGTCTGTTCACCAGTCTCTGGGGGCGGAGGGTATTCGTTCTTGAAGGCTGCCAGTCGATTTTGTCTTGATCCAACATAGGTAAGGAGGTCGAAGTAATAGTCAAGAAAGTCTAACAAATTATTAGAGACCAATCAATAAGATGCCCTTCATAATCGACGGGTTGGGGGGGATGCCTACAAAGCTGAGTAACATTGACGAGTCGCTTAACGTTGGGCTTCTGAAGAATCTCGCGCTCTTCGGGTGTCAGGCCTCGGGCGGTGTTGAACTTCTTCGTCGCAGGTGTGTTTGGTCGCTCTCTGTGCTCATAGTGTTGTTGACGAGTGACAGCAGCATGGCTATGTTGGTGGGGAGAATCGGTAGCAGCCAATCGAGAAGCAGGAAGTGTGTTCTCCTGGCCTTGTTTCTTTTGGGGGCTTGCAGGCCGTGTCTTGTGGACGACGCTTTCATCGACATTGACGTTGGACTCGTCGAGGGGCTGAACCTTGGTCTTGCCAGGTGATAGCGGGGTTACAACGCTTTGAGGGCGGCCCAACTTGAGAGGTGGCTCCATGACAGGAGGACTGAGTGTCAGGGCACTTTCGAATGCAGACGGGAGGTCGTGTGAGCCAGGAGGGTTGGTCTTCTTGCTCGGGCTGCCTTGAGGTGTGCTCGCGGGGTTGAGGAAGTTGTCCACCCTGGTGGATGGCGTAGCAGGTCGCGAACTGCCATTTTCGCTGGCCGGGTTCTTTTCTTTCCCTCCGGGAAAGAAACTGGACATGAAGCTAGCCATGGCTGCTTGTCTTCTTCCGGAGATGTCTGCTTAATTGAGCGTGGGAATCTTGAAGAAGAAGAAGGTTCGGCACTGCAGTATATGTATGGTGGGGATGTTTAGTTGTCGTCGCGATGTGAGCTGGAGTTGGAGTCGAGGGGTAGACTAGCGGGTGGGCTCTGTTTTGTTTAGCTTGGGCTTGGACAGGCGGCGAGTGGGGAAGAGATAAGAATAACAATCAACACTGAAATGGCAGTGGAAGTGAAGTCCGACAAAGAAGAAGACTTGTATAGATGCTGTAAAAGCGAATTTACTGATGGTGATGGAATTTCACGTCAAATGGAAGCTGAGCCCGAATAAGAGAAAGAAATTGGAGAGGACAGGTCCGAATGGCAAGAACCTGGATGCTCGATGAAGATCGATCAACAACTTACAAGCACTGTGATCGGGCGGGACCCCACTTGAAACGCCATTGGCTATCCCTTCAAATGTACCTAGGGATGGTTGCTACTGCAACCAAGACGTACATGCCTACCTCCATAATCCACTAAGGTAAGTAAGTAAGTAATCGATGGACCTTGCCTAGGGACCTAAACAGCCGCCCATCAAATGGAATGATCTCCGTTCGGCTGACGTGCTGTCGTTTGAGCAAGGCACGCAATCTTAGATTTTTGATAGTCTCCCATTTTGAAGCATTTACCTTATGCCCTAACCACAAGGCGGATCGTTTTCTCAACTATAAGTTGAGCACCAACCTTAGGGTAAGACGAAGGTGACTAGCTCATATATGTCCTTGACCCTTTCACACGTACACGCTCACATAGTATTTGTTGAACTGCTGGAATATATGGCTAGGGTATCGTACTACACCGGTGGCTTCTTGGATAAACCCCATTATTCTCCTAAACTTCATCTCATTAATTCTAAACCGAGGCTGATACGATGTAATTATCGCGCTGTGGACCCGGCTTCATTCTTATCTCCCACTGAAAGATCACCCGAGTTCAAAAGCTAGGTATGGCAGTCGTTAATGCTAAGTGTGTATCACCAAATCAGTAAAAAACTCTGAATTACCTAGGTAATGTTAAAGGTGGTTCTTATCAACTGGATCTGTGTCAATGGCCCTCATGCCGCCAACATTCTAGAATGCTCAAAATGTAAGGAACTGGACTAGGATGAGAAGAAGACTCTGATTTGTCTAAGCATTAAGCCAGAGGTTCTATAGAACTTCGCCAGATGATTATGATTGAGCAGTCTCTATAGAAGTGTCTCCCCTGCCTGCCTGGAAAGATCGATGCATCTCAGAAAGCTAGGTAGAGCGAAGAATCATATGAAAAAAGACAGCGTATCTCAATAACTTGTCTTAGCAGCTTCCAGTCTGCCTTAATCTTCTGGCCAGCAAGGAGTCGCATAAAGCAAACAATAGATGAGAGCAACAAATACACCAACTTGACTACCTATGAACACGTTACGTGAGTCAAGCTCATCCTTGGAGAGGGGGAAAAGAAAACCAGGTCTGAACACTTGACGATACACGGCCCTGAGGACAGTTTTCCGGTACATGAATACCAACTATCCTGGAATTTGCTAAGCTTTACCTCTTTCCAGGATCTGGTTTCTATTTTGTCGACTGGCTTTCGACTTTGTGTTGAGAAACCTTTCGAATCCGGCATCAGTCAAATTGACAAATTGGATGATTTGAAACTATTGATCCAAGGGGCTTACAATGACCCGTTTTAACCTGGTTGCCTGTCATCAACCAAATTTAAGATAAACATGGAGTATGGCGACTGAGATTTTGGTCAATTGAAATTTTATTCAAGCACTTACAACTTAGGTAGCTAAGTATTTTGTCTTGAGTCGGTCATACCCAATGGTAGTAGCCAAGTCATCTGAAAAAAAAAAGCAAAAGAAGTTGACCTCGATTCTGTATGCGGCTGTTGCAATTCATAACTACCTATTATATCTGAACCCCATTGAGAGGTTGAGGGCAGATATACAGCTGAGCTGATGATGAATTTTGTACTACAACTCATCCCTGAGCATTATATTTAAGATGATATGCATTACCTATCCAGTAAGCTACTTGAGATCTGGAAAGGAACTGCTGCTTCTTAGATATTGTCATATCAAACTTCATGCTCTAGAATACATTCAAGTATCTATGTTGAGGGAGGTTTATGATTTTTACTTCAACTTGCTGACCCACACATAATCATCAAATAGACCAAAATTATCTGCTTTGAGTTCAAGTGAACTTAGATTCGTTAGGCCGAGCTTGGTTCGTTGCTGTAGCTCCGAATCGTCAGTCCGGTGTGGTTTGCCAAGTCGCAAAGCGACAAATAAGTTGTAACTGTACTCTGGCCATGACTTCACACAATATTCAACGACAGATGAGCGTTGACAAAGATACATCATGAACCTTGAAGTAACTTACGAGCAATAACAGCTCATTCAGAGTATGAAGACTTCTCAAACTGGAATGTTGCTTGAATACTATCCTCGCCCACAGCCAAGTTTGGACGAAGGAGATCTTTGAGGAACCTCCCCACAGGGAGCAAGAAAACTTACCCATAGTGCCAAGACGAACTACGGGTTCCAAATCCTACTAAGTCATACTAAATAAACTCACCTGCCTAGGTCTCGCCGTTCAGGTCAGGCCATCAGAGGTCATAAGTTGCTTGTCTCTTTCGGACACTCATTAGCAGTATGAAAGCGAATCATACGTTTTTCGCCGGCTGGCTCGTATAATACTGGTATAATACTGCTGATCCATATCAAGAAATTGAATCAACGACTCCTCGTCAGCCTAGGTAGGTACTTGCAACATCAAAATGTTGTGGGTCGGTTTTGACAGTTGAACGGTTGCCAACCGGTTTCAGCCGATAACGTGCAAGGATCTAATCTTATCAATCTACTGACATGAGCCTTGGCGAGAGTAACATCATCCATCATGGGATCAGTTCCCCTCAGCTTAGCGCGGCCAACTTCCGCCATTATTCACTAGCAAATTCCTCACGCGCCAGCAGAATCCAAAGCCAAAAGCCATCGGATTTCCCACCGCCTCGCCTGGCTTACCTTTGTCACCTTCTTCCCGCCCGTGTTCTCATTCTTGGTTAACCGTGTCCAGCGCATCATAGGTCAACCTTGTCATCAGCCTTTCGGTGCCATCGACTCTGCCTACCTACGCGATACGATCAAGAACGACGTCATGAAGTTCTCGCATGCCATAGCAGGCTTTGCTGCCACGGCCCAGGCTTTCACACCGGCGTCCAATATCTTTGGCGACAACGATAACGCCGATACAAATGCTCCTCATAAGATCCCAACGGTCCACGAGTCCGTTGTCATGGCACGCCGCATCCTTGCTCTTACCAAGCTTGCGACACTCTCTACCGTCTTCCCATCCGGACGATCTAATATAGAACTCGAGTCCGACAGTAATGGACTTGAGGGCGTTCCTATCGGAATGATGGATTATGTGGCGGACTGTGAGGATGAAGGTAACCCTACCATTCTCGAGATCAAGATCGCAACCACGTTTAGAAACGTTCGGGCTGGATCAAACCTTACCCTCTCCATGAACTGGGTCCCACCCTATCCGCCCACTAAGCGTATCTCCCTTCTATCACGACTCTCAGCATATATCCCCTTCCTCTCCAGTCATGGTTACAACAGCCGTTTGGAGGAGTCGCTCTCCGTGCCGGACACTGTCCCTTACTCTGCGGCCAACTTGCCACGTTTTGCCCTCTTTGGGTATCTTGAGCCCATCGAGACCACACCGGTATCAGCACTGAAACTTGCGGCATGCTTCACACGCAAGCACCAGGACGCCAAGTACTGGCTGCCTGGCAATGTGATCCACGAGAGCGCTTGGGCGCGTCTGGTCGTAACCAAGATCTACTGGGTTGGCGGCTTTGGCGACCGCGCCCGAATCGGCTGGCTGCCCGTTGATGAGTGGAAGAGCGTTACCAGAGATGAATGGGAGAGCATCAAGCTTCCCGGCGAGGAGAGAGGTTGGAGTGAGTGGTCAGTTAATACTGCAGAGCTGTAGTAGTGGCATCGCCTTATCCGAACGGGTGCGCTCCTTTCTTTTCCTCTTGTCTTCTTCCTGTTTGAGACGATACAATATTCGGGCGGGAACATTCTTTTGCATATGTGTTTGCTACGAATATAGGGCCATACTTAATGGCTGCCGCAATGGTTCACACCAGAGGAGTTGATTTTACATAAGCTGGGGCGGCAATATCTGGTATGGCAGTACGAGCCTTTCTTGCATAACATTTTCCTTTTCCTTGTGTCCCTTGAGATGACAAATTGTACTGTACTATCAGGGAGATTCTTGAACACGGCACGCAGATAACCGAATCCACATTTTGAGCAATTTGGAGACATGTTGTCTCACTTGACATGCATTTCTGCTGTAGTTATGTGCTACGGTCGGACGGGATTGGCAATGAGATACGAGCGTGTTTGTCTCACACAGCGCCCACGTTTGGCAAGCCGCGTCGCCAGGCTTGGCAACATGTGGTGTGGCCACCAGTTACCACCTCCAATGATCGGGGACTTGGCTCATACATAGCTGTTTGACCTCCGAGCCCGTGACGATCCGTGTCCCATCACAAACAACTCAAGGTGTCGCTCTCCCTTCACTATGTGGCCATGCACTTAACTGCATTTAGGAGGGACGGCTGGGCGAGCAAAGATGTCATGCCTCTTCTTAACTGGTGCAAGGGCTAGAAGGGCTACGAAGGGATAGCGATAAGAGTCGTGGGTTTCACGACTTACGTACATACCTACGTACATACATAGTCGCACGGGTTGATCCGGCGGGCCACGGACGATCCGATACCCTGCGTTACCCGTGAGTTCCGATTATAGCATGTATGTTGACTGGGAACTGCATGTTTGTGGGGAAAACATGCGCCAATATTGTGTGAGAAACGCGGGATGAGCTAGCGTAAGCCTATTGTTGATAGCATATCTCAATCTAGCAAGCCATCGGAATCTCAGTCTACTGCGAAGATGCAGATGTTCTGCCGACCTTTACATATCCTATCACGGTGTCTCAGAAAACACTCAGCCGTACATGATGCTCACGGTACTGTTTCGCACAGGGACACGAGTACTCCGTATGTACAAAGGATCTGCAGTTCAATACAAAGAGACATGAGAACGGCTCAGTCCAACGAATTACGGAACTCTGCATGTGAAATGGTCTTGCTAAGGTGCCTTTCTTTATTACCTACGGAACAACATTGCCGCAGCACAATGATCTCCCCCAAAGAGGAAGGTTTGCTGCACTGTCTGTTGGAAGTCATTTTAGTCTATCCCTCACTCACTCCCAGAATCACTGACTTTTAGACTTTAAGTGCTCATGCAGCTGACGAGTACCCTTACTGGTCAGTCGGTACAGGATCTCGGGCCGGGGTTGGAGCCCGACGGAAGAGACAGGATGTTCCGTTCCAAGAAGTCGGACCAGCTGGGAGACAAGTTTTGAGAGTCTGTCGGTTCGACCTGGTGCTGCAAAATTAGCCGTGATACATGCATGAAGAGGCTTGTTTTGCATGGGACGGCGTTGGATGTGAGCTGATAAGGCACTTAACCCCCGTATCTACGGGTATCTTCTCCGCATCAACTGGCACACCGCAACGCAAACGCACGACCCTGTCTTGCCCCTAAGCGAAGCGAATGATAGCCAGGCCAAGAGCGGCTGGCATGGGCCAACAGCAGCATCATATTGAAGTTGAACCCATGATCCGCACAACAGAGTCCCCCCCTCAGTCCTGAGGCAAAACAGGCTCGTCCAATCATCCTGGCGTATAGACTTATTCAATTTCCCTTTAAGTTTGACGACAGTCATCAAGTCGCTGGCGAGGGGGTATCTACCGTTCGCGAAGCTACACAGACATCGGGGCTTGCGAGTGGCTTACAGCAGGCATCTCGCTGTTTGTCAGCGCCGATGTGGTGTTATTCCCTCCCCGGAAGCCCAAGTCCCAACGCCCATGTCGCCGGGAAAAGAGAAGCAAGGGCCAGCCAAGGGGGAGTTGTTTTGGTGGGACACAGACCACGGTTTGGCCGCTGATGCTCTTAGATGGAGGTTCTGGATGGGGAACTATCGGTCGATTATTTACAATGGCTTGGCTTGGCTTGGGGGTTGAACTAAGTGAATGGTGACGGTTGGTGATTGGCATCCAAGTGAGAATGTCCCATTCGCTTAGGCTTTTGGCTTGAGAGGGGGGAGCTGAAAGCTGTTGGAAAGGTGATATGCCATCGAATGAAACGCTCTCGTCCTGCTGAATGCCGTCATTGGAAGCACCTCGAGAAATGATGGCTGGATGGTCTTCTTTCACTTGGTTGGCCGAATAATGGCTTCCATCCATTCTACTGATATGGAACAAGCTTTTGAGAGAAAGAAACTCGACATCGTGCTCAGATTAAGCACAATGAATTTCCTGGTTGACTTAGAGGGAAAATTGGATAATATTCCACCAGAGTCAAACGACAACTGAGGCCTCTCATCAGTCACCACCAACAAGCGCTGTGCAACTAGTTGTATAGACCCCAATAGATAACGCACATTCCACGAGGCAAATGCTTCTATGAGATCTTAAGCTGCGCGATTGTGTGCCTCCAAGCGGGGTCGATGGCTTTTGGCTGGGGGTGCCGTAATGTTATTTGATCGCCAAGCAGGTAGGTAGCCAACTGTAACCCCTGAATAACACAACAACGTTATGTATGCACTCTGATGTGACCTGAACGCTTTCACCTCAAACCGCCCGTCAATCTCAATCCTCTCAAGCAATTCACCCGCTTATCCCTTGGAGAGTCAACACGTAGCACTGCACGGATAGAGGGTTGCTTGTGATTCAGGAATTCTCAGTGATCCCGCCACGAGTCATCTCTCACGATATATCGCCACTTGACGCTCAGCGTCTACCCAATCGATCTTGTCCCAAATCCTCAAGACTCGCGCTGTAATAAGTCTCATGTAATGGAATTGATTCCCCAGTCCCAAACCCCGTCGGTCCCTATCCGCAGCCATAGCCGTAGTCTAAGCCCGTAGCTCGGGTCGGGCCCGCACGGGCAGTCTCGAGAATCAAGAGACAACCGACGAACAATCTACCTACCCTTTCCAAATTCAAAATGTCCGGGCAGGGTTCCAGCGCAATAAACGATTCAAGGGACCGGCCAAGCGACGGCTGAGAGCCCGGAGGGGGGGGC